CAGCCCCTCAGCCCGTCTCTGCCGCGGGTTGTGGGGGCCACCGACTTTAATGAAAGTTTTGGTCGTCGATTCCGAGGGGGCAGCTGGCACGTCCCGCCTTCCCCCGCCCCGGCTCCGCCCCGGCGATCCCGCCCCGCGCCTTGATTGGGACTCCGAAGCAGCAGCCTCCCGCTGCCTTCCTTCAGCCTCGCCTCGCCGTGGGGCGCTGGGGAGGGGGTTGCGCTGCAGAGGAGCCTGGCTGGCGGGGGAGCTCGAAGGTGGTTCGCGAGAGCGCAGCGAGGGCCGTTTCCCTCCCGCCCCGAACGTAAATAAATCCTGTTGCCACCCACATGACGAGGAAAACATACACCTTGAGGCCATGCTGCGGCTCGCTCGGCCATATAAACGTGAGCGCGTATACACACACTCACACACACACACACACACACGCACGCACGCACGCAGGCAGGCAAAGTGGGGCGTGGATTTACGAAGCAAACGGGTCTGGGTAAAAGATGAAGCCGTGGCCATGCTCTTATTCACGGAAAGAGGCGTGACGCGCGCGCGCACCTATACCGACACCCCCCCCGAGCGCGCGCGCACACACACAGGGTGTGGGAAACCGGCACGTTTCGCCGAGGCGACCGGCGTCCCCCTCTTTGAAACATGGATGCGGAACCGGAGAGGGGCGCGCGCCCTTTCCAGCGCTCCCGCCCCGCCGGAGTGCACGTTAGGAGACAGACAGTCGTGAAGACCCGCGTCCCTCACCTCCGACCAGCACCATGGACAGTCACACGGCCGCGTGAAGACACGAGATGGTGTGTGGCGGGGGGGGGAGCGGGAGGGGGCCACCTCGCGGGAGCGGCGGCGGCGGCGAATCCCCGTTACCCCGTCCCCTCGCATGCATGCATCTTATTGAACGGGCTGCTGTCACCCGCAATCAACCGGAGGGCTTTGACTCCGTTAACCTGGTGAACGATCCGAGTGAGAGACGCCCGCTCTCCCCACTCAGCCTCCCTATACCCTGTTCTGGATCTGCTTTCCGGAGGCTGCCTCATCTTCCGCCACAGCTAGTCCAAGGCCAAATACATCTGGCTGGCTTAGTCGCGTCTTGAACTCTGTATTGTATGTGTTGGGGTGGTGGTGAGTGGCTTTTCCAATCTGTGGTGTGCGTCTCCAGCAGAGGTTGCCACAGGCGCTTCCTCCCCTGCCACTTGACCTGACTCCGCTCCCACACACCACATAATTTGATTTGACCACCCCTTGATCAAAATTGGCCTCCTCTGAAGCTGGTACATCTATTTTTACCCCCTAAGGTGCATTCTTCTTCTCGCTTCCACCTCCCCGCCCCAGCCTCCACTTTCCCCACAGAATTTGCTGCAGATCGGGAGGTTGCTTGCTAGTACGTAGCATTCCTTTTTCATTGTGTGTACAGTATGCCAGCCTGGAGCCCCCCAGATTTTGTGTGCCGCCCCGTCCCCTACCGCCGCATCTGCCGCTGATTGGCGAGGGCTGCCTCAACTTCGGGGCTAAAATTCCATGTAGCTGCCGACAGCCCGGACCCAATCCTTGGGAGGATGGATTTAAGGTGGGGCTGGCTTCCAATGCCCACCTGTCTGCAACCTCCCTCCTAATCTGAAGCAAGATGATGTATCTGGACTGTACTAGAAGCACATAGTTCCCCCTCTCTTTTTTTTATCTAACCATAGGTTGCCCCCCAAAAGACAAGGACACTTTGATCACCCCCTAGTCCTGGCAAGGGATTTATTTCTCCCTAAAAATGCAAATACCAACACTGTATGGAATGGAGGTGTCTTTAATACATTCTCCTCCATAATGCTACAGGTTTCAGCCATCAATTTATGCTGTGCTGATCCATTTCTTTTCCTTCCTTCCTTCC